CATACACTGTCGAGCCGCTTTTAAACGAGCTGCCGTTGTATGCTTTCGTTAGGGATATCCGCTCTTGGAACAATGCTACTGTTCTCTTCTAACGCTCTATTGAATAGCAGCACTCATTCTGTCAGAGATGAAGGGTAGACATAACAGGAGTTTATTTTGCCGCGGTACCTCTCTCTTGGGGCAAAATGCCGTTTTTGTAGCCATGCTCTCGCATGGCCGCTTGCCGTGGCTATATTCGTAGCTGAATGTCTAGATTCAATTTGCTCGACGTCGCATGTGCCCACCTGTGAAGCCGCTTAAACATGTTACCGATAACAGCATGCTTTACAGTTTTCGAATGAGCCGATGTCGCGTGAATCAAGACTTGTTAGAGCTACTTCTGCGTTACCATTTTACACGGATGATGCCACAGGATAATTGAGGTTGTGTTGATGATAAGGTAGCTAACCGTCGTGTAGCATTTCGCAAGTGAGCTTAGTGTACTGGGACTGTTCATTCATCGGCCAGAAGCATTCGTTCATTTCGGATTGCGTTGATGTTATAATGAAGCAGTCATCTATATATCTCAGTACAATAAAGGTAAGACGCCTCGAGCACCATCACTTCAATCCTCCCATGAAACAAACAACAAGAACTAGTGCTAGGCGTTGACTCATGGCGAGGCCTCGAATATGAGACTATTATAACCCTGCCCTTATGAAAAGGTTGCGATTCAAGCACTCCTTGACTACAGTCATTATTGATACCTTACGAAGCCCAGAAGTTCGACTACTGGGCATATGCCTGTCCAGCATCCCTGACAATGCTTGCTCGGCTTGCTCGTTCTGAACGTTGGTATTCAGTGAGGTGACATCTAATGACCCTATCACTGCGTTATCTCTTACACTGGAGCCGTGCACGACTACAAAAAACTTGTTTGTGCTGGGCAGGTGGGAAAGGAACCATGGACAAAAGGTAGGTTACGATATTGTTTGGAAACCATGATATTATCTCTGTTACCCCCGCCCCCCTCTTGCCCCCACTACTTATACGTCGGATTTTGTACCATTACAGTGAAATGGCATAACAAGCAAGTTGAAGGGTATTCAAAAGGCTGCAAAAGACGGGACAACTACGTGTGTCCAGTGCAAGACCACTGATTAACTTTTTGTCAACCCCTGCAGGTTTTGCTGTACACAACCACTTATGGGTGGACAGCTCAATAGAATGTTCCTTCTACCAACCCCGTAAGGCACAACATGACTGAATCAAGGGAATACAGTGTAAAAATGAAATCGTGAAAGAAAATAGCCTTCGAGTTTTGCCGGGCGGTACAATTAAACAGGCGTCGGAGTTGCCACTCATGAGGCCGCGGTGCCTTCTTTGCTCGCTGTGGAGCTGCGAAGGTGATATAATCTTTAAGATTGATGGCCAGATTAATTGTACAATGAAGGATCTCACGAGGTGGTTGAGTGCGGTGTTTGTCTTTTGTTGCGACTACCGCGCCGTGCGTAGTCCCAAGACTTCCACCATATTCATTTCCTTTCAGTACCACAAAACCATAGAACTACCTGCAGAGGATCTGTAACATGAAGATAATACTCGCCAACATCATAGTGTAATACTGGTACTGTAGTACCCCACACTCCAACTCGTATGGGACAAGCAACATCCGAATACCGCGACGATTCCGAATGGAAATCAATTGTTCAGCGCATCTCACAGAGCATTACCCACGTCATCTGCCCTTTACTTCACTAATTTGTTTATTGGCCCACAAGTGTCTGTAGTTGGAATGCAAGTTTAGTGAGAAAAGCTTCAATGGAATAACTATTGCATTGTTAGAACAGGTGATGAAGGGTTAACAGTTTATCGAAGGAAAACCACGTTTTCCATCTTCTGATTCGTCTAAACTGCGCGGTACTCCAACTTTGTGACAGTGGCGTAGATTCGGTTGTAGGTTATTATAGGAACAGTGCGTCAAGTCGAATTGAGTATCGTGTTTGCGTCGTCTTTTGAGCAGAATCTGAATAGAATACGTGGCTATGATTATGCTCAAAAAGCTCTACAACTCACATTGGTGTAACTTCATACCTGTAACCGGTGCGGCGTTGGTCTTCATGTGTTTTGATTTCAACTCCAGCATACGTGCATCCATCGACGGCAATTCCATCAGTGAAGTTTACGAATTTCACTTGCACCGTTTTACCGAATGGGGCCTTGAGATGCAACCTTCGAGTCTGTTCACTTTAATTATTTGCTTGCCGTCGCGTACCTTGATCCAGTAGTGGCATTTCATAAAGTCCTCACGCGGCAAACCGCCGGCTGCCCGATTGCCTAGGTCGTCGACGAGCGGTGTCCAATCTTTGGTCGCATACAATTCGCGACCGCAATCTTGTGGCTAAATGAAGCTTCAAAGATAGTCGCAGTTCGAGTCGCGAAAGAAACCGCTACCTTCTTTCTCGCAGAATTGGCCTCCGTATCCGCTAGGACAGATACATTTGGAACAATCACGAGGATGAGCGAATCCGTGATTCTGGCACCGCGTGTATTTACCTTTGCAAGCATCTAAACTACAATTGCTTATAGGCATTTTGTACGTAACAACACACCAAAACTGCTACCAGTGCAGTTATAGTGTGTGTTGAGCATAAGAAGATCGTAGAACGAAATGAAAGGAGATCCCAAGGTCTGTGTATAATGCACGTCCTTTGGCACCATGGTAGGCAGTTTGTTTCTGGTGGCGCTGGAAAAGCGCATTCATTTCCCTCTGGTGCTAGAATTATGCGTTCATCAGCGTCCCACCTTGTGGCTCCGTAGTGCATCAGGCTACCGTAGTCATATGTCAAATCATAATTGTTATTGGTTGCCGGCGTCTCCAGTGTGAATTGGTCTAGCCAGTCAGGCTGAAGTAGTTAGTGATATTATCAAGCTTTTCCAGCAATACAAAACTTACCTTGATGTTTTCTTTGTCAACTGTAATGAATCGATCGCGATCATGTCTCGAGTGCGTGTGGAAGAATCCAAGAGCATGACCAAGCTCGTGCGCAGCGGTTCCGATCTGAAGCATGGAAAAGCCATTTTATTGAAAGGGCTTCAAAAGAGAATGCCGCCCTTTTTTGATGAACTCATACTCTTGTGGTTACCACAACATAAAATGAACAACTCTCAAAATCATATCGATTCACAGCCATTACCAAGTGAGAGGTTTTGTACGCCTCCAAGCCTGCCAACGAAAGACCAACATCCATCTTCCATGAACACACGAATGCTGTCCTGAGCTGAAATTTCAGGCGTCCAGTGGTATCTTACCATCATCGACAACTATTCCAACTTTACCGGAATCGCTTTGTGTGAAGTTGATGCAGGTATTATCCATCCATTCACGCGCCGCTTTCTTGAATACACTCTTAACCTTTTCACCTGCAATAATGAGCAAATTGTTCATATTTTTTGCTTCATGAACGAGAAAACGATAAGACAGCTGACTTGCACTTTTGTCGAAGAAGTAGTTGACTCCTTTCGTCCATCTTCTACCAGGGTAATTTTTATCATTGTAAGTCTGCCGTTTGGTACGAGTTCCACTAACATCCGCAGCAATTTGATCTTGTTGTTCCCTTAATACGCTTCATGTTGTCCAGTCAAGAAATCAAAAAAGTGTAGGTACAAACTTCGAAAGAACCATATCTCCCTGGAAGAGTGCTCCTGCAATTTGACTTCTCAGGTTGATCTCTTCAATGGAGTCCCCTGCTGGTGAGACTTGATCGATAGTTTTCCTTTTGAACATCTAGGATTTTCATGATTAACTGACACATGAAACATGTAAAAGTACAAGTTTCAACCTTCAGCCTTTCCACAAGCTCCTTTCTTTGCTCTGGGCTCAGAGTAAGCTTCTTCAAAATTGCGTCTTTGTATCCGCTCAACTTTTTCCGGAATTCGAGCATGTTACCATTGAAAACCTACATATATTTACAAGGAGCTATGCTGAGTTCTCACAGAATGTCAAAAAACATACTACCTCCTTGATGCGATCCATTGTCTTTTTTATCTTGGTTGTCACTTTTTACTTTGATTAGACCCTTGAGGCTTCCGACCGCAAGCGTCTTTTTGAGGTCCAACAAGTCGGCGCTCACGCAGACAGCCACCAGCAAAGCGAGTATGAGAAGCCTCATCCTGCAATGTAGAGCTTAGAAATTCTCAATAAAGTCAGGTTGTTAGAATGTTATGTTGATGGAGGATGCTGCTCTGTTCGTTTCCACTGTATTTATACGGTACATTCAGATCTCAGAGTTGACATAACGGGAAGGTGTTCGATGACGAGGTATATCAGGGACATCAGGAAAAAACTACCGCCGCTGCTCTGGCTTATGCGGTGGAGTTACAATTTTGTTGGAGGATTCCTCTGAGCAGCCTCTGTCTGCAAGAAATAGCCAGTAAATTGAGATACGAAATTATGAGTGCGAATCCCGAATGGAGTCAAACTTGAGGAACGTTTCTTGCTCTTCTGACGATATTTTTGGAGGCGTTTTAGGCTATACTTGTAGTTTTTGAGCATAGAATGCAGAGTTAAGCAGCGAACGCAACGAACACTTCATTCGCTCCGATCACCTTTTCTCTCTGGTTTCTCGCGA